TCCCTCCACCCAGTGCCTTCAAGGTGGTTTTCAGGAGTCCATTGCACCACTCAACTTTTCCGGCAGCTGGTGCATGGTAGGGGATGTGATACACCCACTCAATGCTGTGCTCTCTGGCCCAGGTGTCTATGAGGCCATTCCTGAAATGGGTCCCACTGTCAGACTCAGTTCTCTCTGGGGTGCCGTGTCACCACAGGACTTGCTTTTCAAGGCCCAGGATGGTATTCCAGGCAGTGACGTGAGGCACAAGGTATGTCTCCAGCCATCCAGTGGTGGTTTTTACCATGGTCAGCATGTAGTGCATGCCTTGCCAGGTTTAGGGAAGTGTGATGTAGTCAACTTGCCAGGCTTCCCCATACCTGTATTTCAACCACCGTCCACCATACCACAGAGGCTTCACCCGCTTGACCTGCTTGATGGCAACACATGTCTCACAGTCATGGATAACTTGTGAGACACTGTCCATGGTTAGATCCACCCCTCGGTCACGAGCCTATCTGTATGCTGCATCTCTCTCCTGATGACCAGAGACATCATGGGCCCATCAGGCCAGAAAAAATTCTCCCTTGTGCTGCCAATCCAGATCTACCTCAGAGTCTTAATCATAGAATCATAGAATCATAGAATCATAGAATCAGATGGGTTGGAAAAGACCTTTGAGATCATCAAGTCCAACCCTTGATCCACTACCACCACAGTTACCAGACTGTGGCACTAAGTGCCACATCCATTCTCTTCCTAAATACCTCCAGGAACAGAGAATCCAACACCACCTCCCTGGGCAGCCCATTCCAATGCCTGATTACCCTCTCTGTAAAGAACTTCTTCCTAATATCCAACCTAAACCTCCCCTGGCAGAGCTTAAGACCATGCCCTCTTGTCTTACTGATAGTTGCCTGTGAGAAGAGACTGACCCCCACCTGGCTACAACCTCCTTTCAGGTAGTTATAGACAGTGATGAGGTCCCCCCTGAGCCTTCTCTTCTCCAGGCTAAACAACTCCAGCTCCCTCAGCCCCTCCTCATAGGACTTGTCTTCAAGTCCTTTCACCAGCCTCATTGCTCTTCTCTGGACCTGCTCCAGCACCTCAATATCCTTCCTGAAATGAGGGGCCCAGAACTGGACACAATACTTGAGGTGTGGCCTCACCAGTGCTGAGTACAGGGGAAGAATCGCTTCCCTGGTCCTGCTGGCCACACTGTTCTTGATACAGGCCAGGATGCCATTGGCCTTCTTGACTACCTGGGCACACTGCTGGCTCATGTTCAGCTTCCTGTCCATCCAAACTCCCAGATCCCTTTCTGCCTGGCTGCTCTCCAGCCACTCTGTCCCCAGTCTGTAGTGCTGCAGGGGGTTGTTGTGGCCAAAGTGTAGGACCTGGCACTTGGCCTTGTTGAACCTCGTCCCGTTGGAATCAGCCCAACTCTCCAGTATGTCCAGGTCCCTCTG